GATAGCCCCCTTTCCCTGCCTGGCAGGATTACCAAAAGGACCATGATGGACAGATTACAGGACTCATGTAAAGAATGGGAAATGATACCTTCTAATAATAAACTGATGCTGTGCTATGATATGGACACATGCATCCAATGTAAAGAGACACTTCTCCATAGCAGCACCAGAAAGGCCAAGAAGCTCTGAGATTGTTATGCATGATTATAACGTGAGGGAATTTTCTCAAAAGACCATGGAAGGGACCATGAAAACCTGGCAGGCGAGACCAGTAGGATCAGGTGGGCTCTTGGGCATCTTTGATACCTAGATTTCAACGGGGACGGGTGTGGAAATCTATGAATACAGGTGAAATCAGTGAAGTCAAGGGATGGGTGCTAATTATTATTTATTTTCTCTTCATTTGGCTGGAACTTGGGAGAAAAAAAGAATCTCATTGGGTTCAACTGCATCATGCAGGTGTTTCTTAGATATAACTTGTCTCATTTTGGTTTTAAAAGTTACAGGACTGGCTGGTTAGCTCAGTTGGTTAGAGCATGGTGCTTACAACACCATGGTCCAGAGTCCCTGTACCGGCCAGCTACCAAAAAAAAAAAAAAAAAAGGTTCTTCAGAAAAGACATTACAAAAATTAATGTCTATTTTTAAGATAACACAACAAGGACATTTATAGAGGTGAATTTAGTGGGAATTATATAAAAATGTTGAAATCATTTTCCCCCTTGTAGACAGGATGTGAGTTCTTTTCTATTTATATGCAAATGTCAGATTTGAGCTTCCTTTGTTTTTTTACAATGCTGAAATAGTATTTATTTTACAAAGTTTAGATGAGTGAAATCCTGATATGATAGCAAGGCTGTCCTGATATCAGCTTTAGAAAATTCATTCCTACATCTAAATGTGTTTTTTTTTTTTTTTTTTTATTTAGCATGGAGCTCTCATTGGTTATATTCATTTTCAGATATATATTTTGTTTCTGCACAAGAATGTAACCACTTATTGATTACTAAAATCAGCATCAAACTTAAAAAACAAGCACCAGCTTCTTAGAAGTGCACATACACCAACTTTGTCTTTAATTATCAGCAACCTTCTATCTGGGTAATAACTTTTGGACCAGAGTCTTCCCTTAGTGACTCTGTATTTCCCTGGCAGTCCCTTTATCTGATTGCTTCTGTTTTAACTGTATTTTAAGTTCTCTCTGGGAGAGCAGCTTATAATTAAAATGATTGTTAATTGTGTTTTTAATTAGCTGCTGCCTAATGAGAAATTACAAAACAATTTAGTCCCTGCAGGGAGGTGAGTGACCAGAGAATAAGTGCTATTTAGAGACAGTGTTCCTCATATTTGACTTCCTTCCTGCAGACAAGAGCTTAAATTGTTGTAGTCTGCTTAGAAAAAGGAAGGGGATAAGCAGGGGAATAAACAAGGCAGGGAGCTTTGTACTGGTGGTTCTCACCTGCTTTCAAATTTAGAAAAGACCAAGAAAATCTGTGAGGAGTCTGAGACTTCTGCTTAGGACCCACATTCAGCCTGGTCTATGAACTGCCTCTAAACATTCTTCAGAATGAGCCCTGCTGACTCCTGGTGGCCATGTCAACAAACCAAGTCCCAGAGGAGAGATCACCCTGGAAGGCAGTTACTCGACCCAGTTGGTTTTCATGACTGTTATTAACACTGCAAAAAAATCTGCTTTGCTCCCCTTCATTTTCTCCTTCCCAGCCAGCCCCAGCCCTTATTAGTTGGGGTCCTTCATACAAGATGATGAGAAGAGAATCCATCTGAAATGAATGTATATTATCAAGACTCCGTGCTTAGTGACTTGCCTGCAAATGTTGTGTCTGTGTGTGCAAGACACTCTTTACTGCAGTCGTTTTAGTTTAGCCTAATCAATACAGGAATTCAGCCCTCACGTACAAAGGCAGAAGGAGATCCCAGCTGGAAACGACAGAGTGCCTGAGATCCTTTTAGTGTGGGAATCCCCAGTGGTTGCTATCTTCTTAGGATTCGCCTGCAACCACTTTTGTTAAGAGCTACACATAGGTTGCACTGTTGCGAGCTGTTATTTTAATTACTTACTTCTTAAGATACTGTAGTGATTGCCAACGTCAGAATCACCTGGAAGCCTTGTAAAAGCAAAGATCACTGGGCCCTAGCCCCAGAATTTCTGATTTAGTGAGTCTGAGACCAGAAAAAAATTGTACTCAAGTTCCTATTGATGGTGGTGGTCCAGGGACCAGTCCAAAAACCACTGTCATAGGTTGCAAAGCACATTTCTGGAAATTATGAATAATGCCATCTGGCAGATATGAGAAGCTCAAGTTTTTGTCCCCCCCTGTGGCTATCATTACTGCCTTGATCTAAAGTAATTCTCTGCAGTCCCTATGAATACACTCTGTTTGCATGGAATACAAGCAAGAAGGAAAGTCAATAGCCTGGTGTTTCTCATAGGCCTTCAAATTAGGAAAGGGCAGTGGAAATCATAGAGGGATCTTTTGTGTACCAGAGAGAAAAATGAGTAGGCGGTGCATTCCAGTGTGATCTTTCACTTGAATCTTGGCTTGTTGATCTGGTCACAAGGAGTAGATTGGGGTCTCCTGGAGATGCCCATAGCTCAAGTTCTGAAGTTAAGGATGCCAGATGGAAGGTAGGCCACATCAGAGGTCTTTTTGGACAGCAGTATGTGGTTATTTTAAGACCCATTATTTTATCTTCAGTGACTAATTTTTAGATGACGGGTGTACAGCATTGGGCTGATATCACCAATAAATTTCTCGTCATGGCTCTATTTACAGTCTGTTCTTGGAGTTTTCCTGTCTGCTGCATCCTTCATCTGTGATCCTATTTTCCTCTCCCACTGGGCATCCACACAAGATCACCCAGGGTTCTCTTCACGCCTCACACTAGGTTTGTACTTACATGTCTGTGTGTTCACAAACAGTGCAGGATAGTGTGAGAATGTACTTCAAGTAGTAGAAGTGCTGTAACTAAGCCAAAAAGCTCTAATTGAGTTTGGTTGTTCGTCATGCCAAGAGCCAACCAGAGAGACAAAAATTATTGCCAGGAAGAAGGATCCATTACCGCTGAACAACAGGTGAGCAGAGAAGCAGTGCCAACCCACCTCCCTGACTGGTTACAGTTTAGGATTTTTAAAGGGAAAAGGAATGCGGG